CTACCTGCGAGCGAGGAGACGTCAGAATGTCCTTACTTAAGCTCCGGGATAGCGAAGTTTCACAGCGGCACTGGTTTGAGCTTAATAATCCCTGGAGCTGGAAAAAGAGCCCAACAGATTTCTCAGGGAGGTCAGTGAGCCAAAGCTGAAACTTGCGTGATGGGGGCTCTGATGCGGAAAGATGTGCTAAACTGCTCAGAGCCTGTAAGTAGATTTATTTCAATATATTTCCATGCAGAAAGGAAAATACATTCAAATTACCACATTCATTGTACTTGCTGGTAATTATGCTTGTACTCGTACTGATGATGATTATCGTTGTCATTTATAAAAATGACCGTTTCCACATAATTACATTTTTAATTTGATCATCATAATGATGACTGCTGAAGAAAAAAAAATATTTATAATTTTATTGTAAATTTGGCTATTGAAACATTGACACGTTCATGTTATCAAAAGCAGACTGAAGGGTTTGTTTTCGGCCAAAGAATTACTTGAGCTGTTTTTTTAACGTTACACCGGAAACGGCAAGGCAGATTTTATCGTTATATGCAGGATGCACTGTGTGACCTGACATTTGTCGATGCTTGAGATGCAGCAAAGATGCTGAGCTGACCTCCTTCGTTCTGGAAAACATCTTATCAAATGTGTATGAGGTTCCAAGGTTTACTGATTTCTGGCTGCAGGCCAGTAATTGTGGGGGGGGGATAATAATTTTGCCATAATTGATTTTTTTTTTATTGCAGTGTCAACTAAAATGCGAGGGCTGTTCACATAGTTACACAAAATTAGACTTTTCTACATTTGAAACTATCAACTGAGCCTATATAAATGTACATTATATATTAAACACCAATGCATAAATCTGGAATGGTAATGTTTGCCTGCTAACATTTATTTTATTTATTTACCTGCAGTTATATGCATTCAATGTGGGGAATGACGATTAGTAGAGCCTGCCCGCTTCATCTGTTACCGTCTGCCTGAAAGCTATCGTCCATTAATGCTCAGTGGTAGCTTTACTGAAGGTTTTGTTTGCTCCCGGCAAGTTTTGGGCGATGAAGGAGTGGTACCAAGGCAGTGACCTGGGGAATTATCATCTATCCCAAGCAGTGACTTCTGGGTAATAGAGGCCTAATTATGCTCAATTACCTGCTGCCTCCATGCTGTAATAGACAATGGAGAGTCGAGCAATAATGCGAGATAGGAAAATTAGCCTCTAGTCAATCGCTATTTGTTTCTACCAGGCGAGTGTTCTTTTTGTGACAAGGAAAGGGGGAGTGAGTGAATTGGGGCAGAAGTGCGTGTGTGTCAAAATTGGATTAATAAAACTTTCCCCTAATCATCCTTGTCTGAAGCTTAACCAGGGGTATGTTAGACAGCATCCGTGGTCTCAAAGCCCCTCATGCCTCAGGGAAGGACAGCACGGTAACGTCGAATACCAACACTGCAATGCAGGACTTTTACAAGAGCTTCATTTAGGGTTCATCTGCTTGTCTTTATGTCAAGATCTGCAGGAAAGAGATCTGTTAAGAATTACTGAGTGTCTGAATGGTGGAGTTGGGGGTAGCTTGTACTGTATGTCGGCACAACCATTGTTTTTGCTCTTTTAAGGTGCAAAAATATAGCCCTTTCATGCTGATCATCTGTATCACTCTCCCGACGGCGAGACCCCACTCCTTACCATTTGTAGGGGCGCCAACCCTGCGACGTTCAGGTTTGCGTTCTGTGTAGCGGCGGTCATGCCTGTAGGCCGCTCCCTTCTTCGTGGGGGGGCACGACCAACAGCGTATCAGGCGTCTGTTGCTGTCAGTCTCTCTATCCTGGGTGGTCACTCCACAGCCGACATCCCCCCTCCCCCTGGTGCTCACGGACAGCTGCACTAGCCCCAGTAGGCCTGGGGGTGGGGGGGGTCAGCAGTTGTCTGGTCTCCAAGGAATGGTAATGTCACCATGTTCTGGGATGATGGGGGGGCATGTTACCAGAGTGCACTGTTGTTCACGCCCAGAAGCTGCTGCTCTTCCCATCTGTCCTCTTCTTCCTCTTCTTCTGTTCTTCTTCGATCCCGGGATCACAGAGTCTGGCAGAGTCTGGAGGCCTCCAGTAGTGGACATGTTGGGACATTAGCACACATGCAATCCGCAGGCTTTGCAGAGTGGAAATACGATAACAGCGCCATCAGGTGGCTGAACACCGTTTCTGTAATATCGATGTACGCGTCTAGATTTTATAAGACGTTCGCAATAGGATGCAGTACATCTGTTTTTCTAAAGGAACAATAAAAATACACGCAGTTTCTTCAGAATCCTGACAAATTCCATTTTGAGACTCTCAGTATGGATTGACTCCTTTTTATATCATAATCTGTGAGAGTCTCAAATGCCCCATGGCACTTTCGCAGGTGAAGGTGCGCATAGTCGACCACTTTGTTTGACAATGTATGAGATTGGGAACACACACTGAAGTCATGGACACAGGCATGCATGACGTCAGTCTTAATTGCAGCCGAGAACATAAAACGAGCGGGGAATCTCTTCATCAATTCACAGTGCATTGTGTTGTAGTGCGTAATTTGCTGGAGGGTGACCAGCCTGGTGCTGATTGTCATCTGCCCTGCCTGTGGGCACCCCAGAAGGCGGCGGGGGTGGGGGGGGATTTATCTTCTCCGTCCTGCTTCTGTTTCAGCTGAGGACTCAGCCATTTTTTTTTTGTTGTATTAATCTCCCTGACAATGCTCGCATTTGATGGATTTTTCTGGGGAGCGGCGTTGAGGGAAGGTAATAGATCCACTGCAGCGCTGTGTCATGCTGCTCCTTCCTGGCAATTAACGGTGTTTATCTAGCCTCAGTTCTCTTAACTGGCAGCCTGACAACCACCATCCACTTCATATGAAAATCTATACTGTGCACATAAACGTAACTGTGGGGAATGATCCGTGAGTAATTCCAGATTTATGCCGATTGTATAATTCTGCATTAATGCCGACACATTTTGATGGTTATTTTTTTTTTGCCCGCCTAGCTTCTGCAGTGACTGAACTTGAGGACCTCTCTCCCACATGCCTGTCTTCTGTCTCATATATTAGGATCATCCAGATGTTTGCCTTTTAACGGGATCCGGGAGCCCTGGAACCCTTTTCACAGCTTCGGATGTGAAGCGGAAGTTCCGGGCCATGTCTTTGCAGGAAATAAGTCGTCACGAGTAACGATATTTACCATGCGGCGTTCCGCACTCTTGGGGCGTGTGCGGCAGCGCCCCGCTCGTTTGCTGAAGTGTAAATTGGTGTGAGGGTGATTTGTTCTGTTAGCATTTCAGGACTTGGTGGGAATATACTCTACCTTGTGTCAAGCCGGTGACCACACACAGAGCAGAAGCCCTACCCACTGCTAACTCTTTAGCTTGTTATGCTAATACTGCTTATTTAAAAAAAATAATAAAAACACTTAAATCTGATTGGTTAAATATGCTGTTCGCAGCTCTGCCAGGAAACGGTAGGGCTCCTCATTTAATAAAATTATGCTTCATTTCCCTTTTTTAATCAATGCTCAAGATGTTCCTTCCAAAGGCTTTTCATGGTTACCCCATTCTGTTAAAAACCATCTAACTAATGAGGTTACCTCACTCCCATTATGACGTTTTGTTTGCATAAAGTCAAAACGGAAACGTGGAAATATCAAACATACAAGCATTATAATATAATATCATTACTTATCAAAGGCCTGTGCATTTTTAACTTTGCAATGCCTAAGCAAATAAAGTCATTAATAAGTCAGATACATTGTTATATTGCCAGCCTGCTTTGGCACGGTGTTTCCAGTTGGTACAGTCTGTTCCTTCTTCACGCCTTGTCTCTGTGGTAAATTGTGTGGGTTGATCCTGCTTATGGCCTGTTGCCTGCCAGGATGTTGGTATTAATTGTGAACCAAGTTTCCTCCATCTCATATCTACTCATAAATTACAATGCCTTTACATTACCTACCAGACAGATACTGCATGCCCCCCTGACTAATGTTGCGATTAAAATTAATGCTGTTACTGTTTCCGCACTGATAACCTCACCTGCTTTGGCTACTCTGAAGAGAGAAACGGGGTGAAGGGCTGTCCGGAACAGCAGAGAACAGTATTCCCTCTTGCTGATCCCAATCACAGCGATTCTGGTTCATTAGGCCGTTTTTTTCCCCCATTTTTTTGCCCTGATGAAGATGTGATAGCGCACTCCGATTTGTGTTTTACTGGACGCTTGCTTGGAGCGAGCGAGAGAGCTTGTACGGAATTAGAGGTGTGATGCGGCTGCACAATGAGATTTTCACTCTCCTATCCCACCTGTCAGACGCCTCAATGTTTTTTTTTTTTTTTCCACCCTCGGTGAGAACCTGTTGGCGATCCCTTTGTGAAGATCCGCCATGTTAAAGAGGCGCCCCTTTTATGTCAAATGATTTTTGACAGGAGTGACTAGGAGCGCGGACCTTTAAGGTGAGACCTAATTCCCTAGCCAGAACACCTTTGACTGCTGCATTTTGTTTTCCATTATGCATGTTCCTTACTATCCTATTTGAAAGTACAATGCACTGGCAGTGAAAGAACATCGGTCCCTTTTTAATATCTCAGGTATACTGGTAAAATATATAATATATGTGTGTGTGTGTCTGGCGATTATCAATAAACGATTTTATTTTGACAGACATCTGCTCTTCGTCTTCTGATTCTTTTTTTTCATGTCTTGTCAAACGTTCTTGTTTCCTTGCATTTGTCAGCTGTGGAGGGATAACAGATAAGATGCCAGTCTTTGCCACACGGCATTTGTGTTGTCTGTTTCAGTATGTCAAAACGCATCTTGTCCACTGGGTCTCGTCGTTAAGCCTCAGAGCGGTCTGAAAACAAACAAGAGCACCTTGAACAAAAACAAATAAATAAATAAACAAACAAACAAATAAAGAAACAAATGCACAGCAAAGAGAAGGTTTTTTTATTTTATTTCATATGCAGATTATTCAAAGTCTGTTAATGATCAGCCTGGGATTTGTTTTGCTTCAGTAAAATATGTTTGCATTCAGGAAATTTAAATGTATTGCGCTTCTTATGAAAAACCCTTGATGTGTCGCTGTTCTGCTTGATCGTCACACACCTTTCTGCTTCAAAACATTTTTATGTCACACCACATTTCCTTTAAAATAAACATCCTATAAGACACATCTTGCTTGCAGAAATGAAAAAGAATGTTCTGTATATGTTAATTTTAAATTAAAATATATTTTGTTCCTTCGATGGTAAGCCTCCCATTCAGTGTCAGTGGGCCTATTTAATTGGTCATTTATTTTAGGAAGATTTGAATAAGTTGGTATTTAGTGCAGATTGTTTGTAATCCTCCTTGATTTTGTATCATTCTAGCTACATGATTGACTTCTTCACTCCTCAGTGAAAGAAAGGGTCATTCTTTAAATACCGGCAGCATCACAATGGTTGTGTTGCAGTCTTGTGTGGCCATATTGTAACGTAAATAAACGCAGTTGTGAGACGGAAGATGGAAGTTGGAAGGGTGAAACATTGCATTTGGCCTGAAAGGGAACTTGCGTAATCATTAGTCCCGCAGGGATCAGCTTGGGTGCATTTTGTCCAAACCCGATTTTCCATTCCGTAAATGGAAGCTCCTGACTGAATGGATCCGCTATCAAATGTGTGGTGTCACATTCCGGAAAACCATATCTTAAAATCTTAAAGCAATTGTTTTTGGATTGTGAGGCGGGGGGTTGCAACCAAATTTTCAGACAGTATTTTTAAAATAGCATTTTAGCTCTGACACAAAGAAAAGAAAAAAAAGCTGATACACACAACCCCAAATGTTAAAACCTTAACAATCAAAAAACAGAGATTTTAAAATGTTATGTTCAGAAACCAAATTGAAGGAACAAAAATGCATGAATGAATATTGCAGGTTTTTAAAAATCTACTTTTAGTTTTACTGAGGACACAATGATATATTTTACATATATATATTTTCAATAATACCGCCAGTGCAACCTGAGAAGCTCTTAAGAATTCCTTCAGCTGGTGTTGTAAACAATCCCAGAGCAGAACACATCTGTTCACAAAATAAGTCAAAATGTTTGTGTCCCTCCTGTTTGCCTCCTTCCTCCTGACAGTCAAACGTCAACCCATGCAAACTTCCTACACCTCTGTTTCCAAGCTTGATGAGAATTCTCGATGCTTCGGAAACAAATATTTGTGTTGAGAGAGGGGAAAAATGAGAGGGGGGGGGGGGGGGGATGTGCTAATAGACAGATTTCCTTTATTCCCATTTGTGGGCTGGCTCAGTTCTGTCCGGGCAAGTTTGGGATTCCGATCACATTCTGCCTCTTTGGAAGGTCAGGATGGAGAGGGCTCGACATGCCTGCACTGCTCCTTCGAAAGAAAAAAAATCAGGATCTTTCCAGGGTAGGGGATTGTGTGTATGTGTCTTAAGTGGGAGGGAGCAAGCTTTTAGGTATGCAAGAGTCACTGGATCAGAATGAGGGAAGGAAAGGCGAGATTTTTAAGCACAGAAAATAATAGACCATGTTATGTCCATGTTCCTGGAAATCATCATCACCAACCTTACCGCTTCGCTGCCTTGCAGAACCCAGGGGTCAGAATTGCTGCTTCCAATGAGAAGCATGGTGTGCAAAGACGTTTTCCTGTGGTAATGCTGGCTCCTGGAAAACAGGCCAGGTATGGCTCAGCTTTTGCTCAGAGGGGGTTGAAATTCGTTGTGACAGAGGTGAGCCAGATTTGTAGCTGTTCATTGGGTTATCGTGCAGCGTTACTGTGCGCCTTTGCCTCCCGTTGCATCAACGCTGAAACCACATATTAAAATTGTTTTTTTGTTCTGCTTTCACAAAACCAAACAAAAAAAAATCATAAAGCCCCGTCTGGCCCAATTTTTCTCAAACAAAAAGCCCTTTATTTTCATTTTTAGATAGTTTTTTATCATTGCAACTATAGCGTCACAGAGCATTCTGGCATTTTTACGTGTAGCGGGTGGCGAGGCAGAGATATGGCGTGCTGAATTCGGTTTGTTTCCTTCGTTCGTCAAACGCACATGCAAAGAGAAGGGCATGAATCGCTTAACTGGAGTGAATTCAGCCCATGACAAGATAACGGGGTTGTCACATCAATTGGACATAGTGTTCACAGAGCTCAGTGCATACAGATCCAGCCATTATGGTGCAGCAGCCCCTTAAAAAACGGGGAAAAAAGAAGAGGAAGGAGAGAAAAAAAACTCATACTTTGCAGATTTTTTCCCATAGTTTAAAGAATATATCTGATGAGTTCTCTTGGCTACACAGGCATTATTAGAGCCGTGAGCTCATTGCTCCTGCAATCTAGCCAGTCTTCATTCACAGCCGTGTCCTTCTCTGTCTTCTCATTGTATACCCTGGCCGGTTAAGAGGAACATCTCTCTAGGAGGGAAGGACTTTAAGTGGATTCAACTAATTACATTTGCATATTATCAATCCTTGCACGACTTAACCAGACAGTTTTTCTTCCACAGAAGATGGACGCTTTTCCATAGACCTCTGTTTAGATTTGCCCGCTGAATGCCAAATTCTCTTCTCCAGCCGCAAGCAAAAAATCTATTTACTTGTACACACACCATTGATGTTATGTTACTTAACTTCAAAGAGTTAAATAACTGTGCATTTGTCTTCATCCTCTGTTCCAAAGGTTGAATTCAGCCTGTGTTATCATGTCTTCTTCATGGCTGTTAATGGGATATACTTGACATAATTTGTTCATGACATGGGCATGCTGTAACCACACATCATGAAAGACTATACCGGCAGCCAGAAGAGCTGTTATGAAGGCATGTAGGGTTAGCTGTTAGCTACTGTTGTTGATGGTATTATTTTATCGAAAGCCACTTAGAGTTCAACCTGTTTATACAACAGGATATTTGACTAGGGTGCTTCAGGTAAAGTACCTTCCTCACTGATATGACACCAGAATCCCATGGGTACTTGAGCTAGCAATGCGGAGTGTCCTTAACCACTCTGCTACCGATTATATACGGACATCTACACTGCTTAGGGTTTATCTTATTATTACTGACATAAGCTTAAAATATATGGCAATTAATGGCCATAATTTCAGTATATCTTGGGATGCTTGCATAATTCAGGAAAAATATTGCTTATTGGTTTTATAACAAAAATCAATACTTTGTTCATAAATGTATGTACAATGTAAGTAAAACATTCATTTAAAGTAGTAATAAAGTGAGACCTAAATTATACTTCTAAGTAGAGGTTGACCGATATGGGTTTTTCAATAGCCAATGCTGATATTTAGGAGTCAGGGTCAGCCGATGGCCGATATATGCTGTATACAATACAACTTGTAAGCAATAACTTAAACTTATAAACAATAAAGCATCAGAATTCCAAACTCTGTCAGAATCAATGATCCTTAACGTTACCTGTAAGCAACAGTTGGTTGAAGGCTCATTATCATTACGCCAGTTCCCGTAATTCGCATTCTCTTTCAAAAGCACTTGCGTTTTCTTTTACAGCAACATTTCATTGCAAACCAGTTAAATAAATAGGTCTTTGAAAGATCAGAATTCAAGCCTTACCATATTCTCCCAGGACTCTTCCTAAATTTCTGGCTGGGGTCCTGCACAAGGCAGCATGGGTCATGTGTTTCACAGCAACAATAACACTGGGCTGCCCGCAGACGTGCCTGTCTGTAAATTGGCATACTACACTCGGATATTGGCCAATGCCGACACATTAAAAAATCCCAAATATCGGCCCGATATATCGGCCGCCCGATATATCGGTCAACCTCTACTTCTAAGATATAAAAAGTTAATTGACAAGCAGTGTCATTGGGTGCTTTTTAATTAGTAACACTATTCTAATAACATGAAACACCAAACATCTGCAAATTCCCATCTTCATCCTATATGAAACCTACTCCAAAAGTTAGCTTTTAATTAGAACTGCAATAACATGCAACCTATCCTAGAACTGGACAAGCAGGATGGACAAAGGATGGATGGATGGAGGAATGCAAGCTTTTGAAAAGAGCACTGTCCATTTAAACAAGATAAAATCAATGGAGTCCATCTGATTTCCTAATACCTGTAAGTTCTAAATATGGCTAAATTTTACTAATCAATATTTTTTCTATTCTAAACAGACATCAGGAATGTCTACAAATTCTTTTTTATGGACATTCCATAAATTATTATTTTTTTTTAAAGGGTGATTTAGGTCCCATGCCGTTAAATTGCTTGATGCAAGTCCTGCGTTCCTTCTAGGTACATTGAAATGGGAGACCAGGTCCATTTCTCATATTTGAAAGTCTAAGGAGGCCCTCAACAAAATCGTAGATTACAGATGGCTATTCAACAACAACAACAAAAAGCCAGCACACAGGGGATGATTTAAATTCCTCTCTGCAGCTAGGAGCAGCAGGTTTTGTAATTTTTGTTGCCGCCTCTCCGCCATTTTTCTTCCTCCCGTGGCTCCATTCCCATGGCGACGTAGCTCACACTACAGCGCAGGTCATGATGTCACTCACCAACGCGGTCTATAGGCATATATCAGCGAAGAAATAAAGCCAAAAACTCTCATTAGCCAATTTATGAGTGTTGAGGCTGAGCTCAAAAATCTGCCATCGCTTTAATTATGAGATACGCCTTTTCTTTTGAAATGATCGAAGGTGCGAATGCATTGGAATGATGAAATAAAGTCACGTTAGCTGCAATGTAAGACTGAGTTTGCATCAGAGTCCTAAATGCAATCTTCGCTGAAGGAGTCTTGTTTTTACTGTATACAGCAGATGTACAAAATACTCATGATCCAGGGACTTGGGCAGGATGGTGGCCAAAGTCCTTGAGGCTGGTCACACTTTGTTCCATAAGCCAGACTGGGATAATGAACTGGCAATGACTGTCAGTCCCCCAGTGTCTCTGCCACGATACCAGCAGCTCAAAATGCTTCTCACACTTCTTAGGGGCCCCAGCTATATATTTTTTTTTTTATTTCAAGAGAGCAAGCAGCAATTTGATAAAGTGAGAAATGCCACTTTGAAAAGGGCTATGTCTTTTTTTTTCCTTGGCAGCTTCTTGAAGAGTTTGCACGGTCTTGTGAGACGGTCATCTTTAGCGGTGATAATTTGAGAGGAACATCACTCATGGTGTCTGCGACTAAAAAGGTTACGTTTTAATTTTTTTTTTAATACTGCTGAGCGTTCTAAGCAAAAGGGATGTGTTAAACAGTCTATGAGTTTAGGTGTGGATATTAACAGCAGGCTTTTCTGAATCTCTCCAGCTGGGGCTTCCGTGTCCTTGGCTTGTAAATCGTTCTAGGCATATTCTAAAATTTCATCACCTCTACAGCACAACCCTTAGGACTCGTTTTCTTGATTAGTGCGATGGGCTGGAGGCATCTGGCTATTTTTTAAACAAAAGAGAAAGAGAGATGATGAAGTGTAACAGTCCACGGTTGGAGACAACCAGTGAGAGACGGGGGAGGTAGAATACATTATATAAATACATTAAAAACATTATTGTGTTGCACAAGAGGGGAAGCATAAGTGATGGAGAATCCTTACTCCTGGGGTACTGAGTGAATGAGGAAGGGACCAGGCATGAGATCCACCAGACTGACTGCATGACAGTTACTGGAGAACTGAAGACCATTTAAAGTTAACAGTCTGTGCCCCTCGTATGACCTGCATTGTTTTTTTTTTCTTTAATCACCATAATTTGAGGATCAATAGATGCGATTTTGTGCTTATACAGTGATAGATATGTAACGAAATATAATCTCCGAGTGGGAGTGACAGTGAATTCTCTTTCTTTCTTAAATCTGATTTTGGCCTAAAGGAAGATATCTTGACAACTTCCCAAAGTTGATTTTTTTTCCGCCACTTACGTGAATTGATCTACCTGCTAAACCACATCAGAAGAAAATGCCTAATGTGTTGGGTAATAGTACTGAAGTTGCTTTTAAAAGATACACATCTCCCTGTAAATGTTCTGCTGCACGGTCTTTGTTGTATTCAGTTTGCGACTTTGCTAATTTAAGGAAATGGGGAACGTGGGAATTCAGCTCCCCTTAGGTGTACTTGTATTTTTAATCATTTTATTCATTCATAATATGAGCAGAGCTGGTAAAAAAAACAGTTACTCGGAAGAAAAATGCTTTTAAAAATGAGGAAAACAAATCAAAGTGACAATGACTGAAATTGAAACATATTTTACCCCCAAAACTAGATGAAGTGAATGTTTAACTTTTTCAAGTGGAAATGCGCAAAGCATTAATTACACAGTCACATCCATTGAGTGTTTTCGTGTGCATGTGTGTGTGTATGTGTGCATGTGTGTGTGTGTGTGTATGTGTGTAGTAAGTTCGACTCCCTTTCATCTCGCTTCAGGCTGGTGGAGAGACAGATAATAGTCTGTAGTCAGGGAGAAAAAAAAATGCCTTTTTGTCTCAGGGGATGAAACATGATTCAGTTGCTTTATCTATGCGTGTCTGTCTCTCTGTTGGTGTGTCTGTGTCTGTCGGAATGATCCGTTCACATTTCATGGGTTTACCCTTGATGAAATTGCCTCTGTCACTGCAAGATGATACCTGTGGATAAGACTTCAGATCCACTTCCACTGCCTTGGCCAACAATCAAAAACCTGGAGCGTCTTTGTGGATTTTTTATGGATTTTTTCCCCCCACAAAGGCTATCATTTAAGTAATGAATCCAGACTTTCATTTCCACTCAAATTGCTTGGTTGACAAACTTCTCTGAACACCTGGGAAAATACAGAAGAATCCATTTTAATTGCATATGCAGACTGTTCTATTTTTTTTTTTTATGTTTAATTTCTCGTATGCGTGTAAATCACAGGTTGGGTCTGATTTTTAGAGGAACACCATTAACACCTATATGGAATGTTTTCTAATTTGTGGGACAGGAACAGAGAAAATGTGGCCTGCCTTGCTGTCCCCTCTGTGGGAGAGCAGCGGTGTGGCAGTATGTTAATTTGTTGTGTAAATGATGCATTAGCATCTTTGGGAGGTGCCGGCGGAGCCGGGTGAGGGTAGCCGACAGTCTCTCAAAGGGAAGAAATCTGGACTGGGCCATGCTGTGCTTTGAGGGGGGTGTCTGAGCAGGAAGACCTGTGACACATCTGGCAGGGAGGGATTGTCGCAGGTGTGCAGTGCATAGAGGAGCTCCGTCCGACTGCTTAACATAAGCTAAACGCCTCGGAAAGCCAGCTGGAAGGGGCTGACTTGCTTTTAACCTATTGTTCTTTTCCGGTGCTGAACTGTAACCACGGCTCAGCCAATCAGCAGCTGGGCATGTTTTCTATATTAAGGTTATATATTCCCAGTCTGTATTTGTCTTTAGTGAGTGAAACGTCTGTGCAGCTCTCACAATGGAGCTGAGCAAGGGATGAGCGCCGGTGAGTTTTTATGTATACGTACGTGACAGTACACCCCCCCCCTCCCCCCCCCTTCCCTGCGGGAGGCTTCCCTTCACATGCAAGAAACACAATGACGTCAAAAGCTTCAAAAGGCCAGCACGAGAGAGAACATGCTGGCTGCCACAAAGAGGTCAGAATTCAAATGGATGTGTTTAGGATTAAAAATAGGACTTCTTTGGCGGGGGGGGGGAACTTTCCCTCTTTTTTCCTGGCTTTAAGGATTAGTGTAACAGTGTCCTCACACAATGGCTATCGCCAGCCACTCAAGGCTAGCCAGCTAGCAACTGTAAAAAAATGACGAAATTATGGATTATCGTGTCTTTGTTTGCCACTTTGTTTATAATCATTTTATTTATTTATTTCAAGATAAATCTTTCAAGGCAAATTATTTGCCAGAAGTCAGGCCAAGGACGCGTGAAGAGGGAAGGACTGGAATGCTGCTGTGGAGAGAGCAGCTTGGTTTGTCTATTAAGAAAGGGGGCGGGGTCAGTTTTCTCCATTTATACTCTTCTCATGTACGTTTAGATGCTTTTTTCCCCAGCAGGAGGTCGCCGCGCGTATCCGATGGCTACCAGAGCTGCATAGACCCTGGTGCAGGAGCTGGCCCAGTTTTCTTTATGCTAATGTAATTAAATACTTACAGAAATAATTGAAGAGGCTTGCTGATGAGCAGATGGGAGAGCGTTACAGTGAGGAGAACGGGACGAAAAAAATAACTGCAGAAAATGGAGCGCGGTGGGGGCATGATAATACCCCCCACCCCATCAATACGACCATTTGTTTAATCTAGTTAAGCTAAATTAGCGCGCTCAGAGAAACCAAAACTGGGAAAAAACGCATTGTATTCTCAGAAGGCATATTTTGGCTGTATTGTGCAACTGTTAAAATTAGCCTATTTGTGGCTGTAATGATTTAGCAAATAGTATCATGGTGGGAACAACTCAAAGACTACCATTTTCCACGGTGATTTTGAATGGCGAGAAAATTCAGCCGAGATCCCTTCGAATTCATTTGTCAACCCATATAAATGGAGTTTTTTTTTTTTCCCACCTCACCAGTGGTGAGATCATTTCTTCACAGGGAACAATCAAGTGTGGCAGTTCAGCGCACGCCTCCCCCAGAGGAATATCCGTGGACTCACACGAGCTGTTTGTTTGGGGGGTTTCAAAGCACGCCGTGAAGTTTGTACCTGAACAAAGTGAGCTGCTTACCTTTAAGATTTAATGTGCAGATACCGCAGTGCGTCTCTAATCCCTTCATAGGAGTCTTATTAGGAGCTTTGCGGGACTAATAAATGTTTTAATCACAGATAGGCATTCTCACTGTTCCGTGCTCCCTGGACATACATATCTTAGATGTACTGCACAGCATTTAGCGTTACTAAAAATATTCCTCATTTTAGGGGTCTGCTCAAGTCAAATTGGCTTTATTGTTGTACCATCTGTATACAGATATACAGGGGCACTAAATAATGGCCCCCCAGGACCATGATGCAAACTACTGGAGTAGGGGAAGCAGAGGGGCTGGACGTAAGGGTTTATAAACATAGCGCAATGTTTGTGTGTGTGTGTGTGTGTGTTGTATAATGCAATAGGATAAAGGGGTGGAATAAATGTAGTGAATTGAATAAATAGGTAAATAGTCATTTAATCATTCAATTCCTTAAAGAATATGTAGAAATGGGCAGAATTGAAAATGATAGGCTACAGAAATAAACTGGCACATTATACAAACACATAATGCATTCTAAAGCAATATTGGATACATATGTGTGTCCGCTCAGTGGCAGCTTCTGTTGTCACGACTAACATACCGAACTCGCAGGACTCGCAGAGCTGTCCGTCCACTGATGCAGAAGGTATTTCACTCTTTCCTGAAGATGATAAAATGTCAGGACGGACAGTCCCGAAGGTGACGTCTGGCTGGGAATAAGGGGGAGAGTCATCGTCATTAATGAGGAAAAATGGACAGAGGATCCCGGAATTGGCCCTGACTGGACGTCAAAGTAGACGTGAAATGGAAAATAAGAGCAGAAATACCCAACTTCACAAGGCTGGGTATTGTAAGCCTCTGGGTGGTATAACTCAATATAACAACAAAAGGCTTGAAATGTGTTTATAACAATTGGTCTGTTTGAGGAGTAAGAAACTGCAGACACTGAACGCTGGGGATTTGAAGAAAGTGATGTCTGAGAAGTCACCCTTCAAAAGTGGAAGTGTAAATGAGTAATGACAGACCAAGGAGCTCTATGATGCATGATTACTACAGGTGTGCAGAGCGTCTTCCTCTGTGGAGCTTTTCCCTGACGCCATCGACGGTGAGACCTTCCCAAAAGCCAGACCATGAATCCTCAGGAAATTGAGGGTATTAGTCAGAAAAGAACATAAGCATTGTCTTTAAGAATGTTTTGTAGTATTGTGAAAGAACAGTGCTGGTTTCTGAAAATCTAAATCCTGCACATTTAGGTGTATTAACAGTAAAATCCATTTAACTGATACAAATTCATTTTCCCAGTGTCTAATTCTTCAGTAAGTAACATTGCTAACAGAAAGGAACTAGTTTGAGTTGAATAAACTTTTGTAGGCTACTGAGCAGCACAGAATAGGTATTCAGAGTCTGATCTCAACAGGGCCGCTACACAAATAGTTAAGTAAAACTTAAAAAGTTATTGTTAAACTTAATTGCGCTCTCCGCAGGAAGGATGTGAATGTTTGAAAGGAATACACTGCCATTCTCATTTCCTAATCTCCTCCTCTCCTACTGAGCGCAGTCAGCCATTGTGCTCAATTGCCTCGGCAGAATTCTCCTTCCCGACGACCTGTTGCAAACAGCTACAGGTCAGCAAATGTTCAGGGGGCTAATTCCATTAAAGGGATTATCCCAATATGCACCGCGACATTCTGCCCATTGCTTTCACTCACTTTGGCTTTTTCCCCCCCCAAAAAAAGATTGACCATACTTCCATGCTTTCGTTCCTTACCTCCTTCCATCGCCTCTGCCCATAATAGATTTTTTGGGAGCCCCGGGGAGTCTTTCAGAAATCCCCCCCATGAGGTTGGGGTGGGGGGGGGGGGGGGGAGTAAGACTCGCTGGGCCATGCAGGGACATTACTTCCGATTATGGTGCAGGGGGGTGGGGGGTGTTTGTCTGTAGTCTGGCATAGGGGAACGGCTCCATGTCCCATGCTCCACGTCGTCGGGCCTAGAGGCCTAGAGGCGGTTACCGTGGCACTGCGCGGCAAAGGCGCCATCAATCTCGGGCACACAGTGAGCGCCGCTGCTCAGCCTGCTGCGAAATGGAGGCGGGGACGCATGCCGGAGCGGCGCGGCCAATGCTTCTGAAATGAAATACGCCTGGTTTCCAAGCACCATGAGCACTCAGGGATATTAGTTCCGCTTGTAGATCTGTATTTTTTCCTTCCTGCTTTTCCCGCTTGGGAATGCTGCCATTGGCATTGATCATGACCATTTTTTTCCCCCAAGAGTAAGTAAAACCTGTTTCTGTGGCATACTGCTCTACAAATGCCGGATTTTCACCTCTTTACCTGTCTAGTGCACACCTCACTTCTAACCCCCATGATGACAGCAGCAAAATATTAGCAAACTGAGACCCACAATACAGTACCAGGTGGTCTGGCGTGGGTAGAGGCATAAACTGAATATTATAGATGTTTTGGATTACTCAGAAGACTATTTATGTGAGATTGTTTATGCATATACACAATAATCACCCTGTATGGCATCTGTGAGAAGTGGTGGAGTAGCTGTTTTGGGAAATTTTTATCGTTAATCCATTCCATCTTTCCCTCGTTTGTGATTAACGTATAAATTGATGCATACTGCTCCTTCGCTAAGCCTGAGCAGATCCCAACATAAAACAGATTTAAGTCATTTGCCATACAAAAGATGCTTTGCTGGTTCATCATATCGTCCATGTTTTGTGGTGAGACTGTGAATGTGCCATAAATGTCACGTGAAATAAGCCCTAATTTAGCCCACATACAACTATTTAACATTCAGGATTCTATATGGTCATCTCACCATGCATGGGTCCATGAGGATGGGCTGTTTTATTGCAGGCCCCACACGACTGGGTGATCTGGGGCAATTTGTGATGTGGTAGAGATAAGTAATATATATATATATATATATATATATATATATATATATATATATATATATATATATATATATATATATACTGTATATATATATATATACTGTATATATATATATATATACACACACACACACAAATCAAGAGATAGATGAACAGCTTCCAGCAGATTTTGTTATTTTTTGTACTAGGATAAACATTACACTTTATAAACAAATGATGACAACATCACTTTCTTCCAAATGCATGATTTTGCTTAAAATAAGTTGTACTTATTTTAGGACTGTACAACATAATGTATAATGCAGGAATAGTTTGCTGAATCTGAATTCCAGCACAGGTTACTCTGTAAGTTAGATCTTGGAATGTTCTAATGAGAAGAATTATTTATGTTGCTTATACTCTCTGCTTTTAACTGTAGTTAGCACTGGTGGGGAATATGAGGCTTTGAAACCCACAGCTGGGGGATTACTTAATGCTCTTAGTTACTGCTTAGTTTGGTTCACCTCTCCTTGGATGCTAGGCAGTAAATGACAGCTGGTGGCAGTCATGCTCACCTTTGCTTTTGAAGCCTCATTTCTTCCATCAGTAACATTTATGTTCCTAGTATGATTATGCATGTCTAAGCCAGCTGGAGGTGAAACAGTCCTGGCCTGGTTTAAGATGACATTTCACATCACCATGCATGGTGGCTGATCACCATGGTGGCTGATCACCAGCACTACAGAAACTGACGATAACAGTGGATTCATATGATTTTCAGGAGTTCAGTTTTTCAGTGTTAAAATTCATTTGAGCATTTTTTTTCTTATTTTAGCCAGGTTGGGTTAAAACTCTTATGCCCATTTACTGTTCGTGGATTTTCTTGATGGTATGCTTTGTTTGGTTGAACCCTACTGCCCTGATTCGAGGTACTTCCCATGTGGCAGAAGTCAATGTATTTTTCCACTGAAAATTTCACAATTTTTCTCAAAGATTGCATTAATAGAGCTCAAGTTTCAAACAGAGCGATTCGGAGGTAGTTTTCATTATTTTTCTTTTTACGTCCATTCATCTGTTAGAACAATGTAAATGGTTGGAACAGAAGGTACACAACAGAACTAGCTGTACGCTTCCCCTTTTTTTAAACGCCGTCAATACGGTTCCTGGAAGCAGAAATTCCTTGTACAGGTCAAGTTAGTTTGGGGACAAGAAAAAAAATAACAATTTCACAAGCCAAACATCATTAAGTAAGTGTGCTGTCTCCAGCAGTGAGACGTATATTCTAGAATCGAGGGTACTGATGAGTCGCATCGTAACGGGTGTGTGTTTGTGTGTGTGTATATGTGTGTGGATTATGTGCATTTTACATCATGGGGACTATTTTTCAGGTTCCCACAAAGATCTGTGAAAGCAATCAAAAAACTAAAACTGCCAGAAGTCTCATATATTGTTTGGTTACTTATGGTTAAGTTTAGGCCTGGGTAGGGGTTAGGGTTGTCATGTTGGGATTAGAGTTTTCCCCCATAGAATTGAATGGAGATTTAATTACAAACCTGAGTGTGTGTGTGTGTGTCTTTGCTAAGATTATGGTTATGCCCATAGAAATGAATGGAGAGTCCCCACAATGATAGGAATATATGAACTATGCATGTTGTGCGTGTGTGTGTGTATGTGTAAGGTCTTTGGAAAATAAAGGGCACCACTAACAAACACAAGAAATAGGTGAGGAGTGAAATACGAATTAGCAGGGCTACTGCATTCTGAGCAAGTTACGTACCGTCATTGCGCCTTAATGCTGCGATGGCTTTCCCAGGATCTGGTTATAGAGATGTTAGGGTGGGGGTGCTGTAACCTGTAGAAAATGCAGAGAATCTTAATCATGTGTGCAAAGACCTTATGATTGGGCCTGACCAGATGAAAACCAGGCACTGTGCAGCAGAGTGCTGAAAATCCTGAAAACCTTCAATCAGCGGTCGGGGGGGACTTTGCTCAGCTGGAAGCTGCTGCACGGCAGTAATTTTCCCATCACTCTCGCAGACCTGGAATGTTCCTTTGAAGCCTTTTGTCATTCTTGACTTGGCAGACTGTGTGGCTTCTTGGTCTGAGAACATTGCGTTTTACTAACTTGCTCCCTGTCTTGTTTGTATGTGTGTGTGTGGACGGTACTGCGCAAAAGACTTAAAAGCAAATGATGTTTAAATTATGTCCATGTTTGTGTGAAACTGTCAAAGCATGTCAGCTTATCTCTTTCAAAACTTCTCCTAAAGTCACCCCAGTATCTCCAGCAACTGTCCAATACATCCATTTTGACCACCAGCAGGCCTTGTTTGGCTAATCAAAACCTTATCAAGTTAACAAATTTGATTAATTAATTAACTGTGCTGTTGGGTAAATTTAATAAATACACAGAATGGCTGTGGTGCCCCTGAAGAGAGGTTAGGGTTATTTGAGCTGTGTTCCTCTAGCCATCCAAAAATATATCTGTAACTTTTTGGAGAAAAGAACAAATTCTTTTTAACTTTTATTGTGTTATTCTTAATTTGCACATGTTATAATGTTAAATTGTGTTTTTTTCTGTGCAAATATAAACTTTCTACCCTGATAAGTAGCTTTAAACATTTCTTTGACTGCAAAAGACTTTTGCGTGGTACTTTATGTAAAGGCGCTGTGAAAAGAAAAATATATATATTCACTGAAGGATGTTGCTTCAAAGATTGCATTCAACAGTATTGAAAAGGCAGTCATTTTTATGTGTTCCCACCAAATTTTTTTTTTATTATTAATATCAGACCAATATATTAAAGATTTGACTTGGTAAGCATCCGATGTAAGTGGGAGGCTTTCAGTGCTGCAGGACTTACCTTAGAAAACAAAAACTAAACAAGCAAATATATAGTTAGCAAAGTTTTATTTTCTTTTTGATGTAATCCATCCATCCATCCATCCATCCATCTTCTCTACCCACTATGGAGTGTATGTCTTATGCAGGGTCGTAGGGTCTTGGAGCCCATCCCTGTAACACAGGCACAAGGCAGGAAATGACCCAGGATTGGGTGCCAGCCCAATTTTTGACATGATCATAGTATGTAAATGTCTTTGTAGGTCTTAAAAATGCAATAAGCAGCTTATCGGGAGAAAAAAAAAACCACGACTGTGGTAGAGAAATGCATCAATACTGCAGACTTTTTGGAGATCATTGTCTTAATTTGCCAGAAGCAGCATCACTTCCTATCCATCTAACGAGGAACCAGGCATTTAAATATTTACCTTCTTTAACCTCAGCGCGATGGTGCGCAAATGGCCCAACTCTGACTCAGTCCCTCCGGCTTGCAGCTCTCATCACCACAGCTCCAGGAGCAGGACCTTTGTGTCCTTTATGATCCCCCATGTCTGCTTTCTGGAAGGACTTGTATCCTGGTTCTTTGGAGGCCAACAATGCTGTCACCGTTATTTCCCGTAGTCCGTGGATAAACGCTTTATTTTCTGCCTAGGCTGATGATCACCAGTCAATTATGAATAGCCCCAGGGTTAATCATCTTGGTTTGAAAACCAAAAACGGGAACTTTCAGAATTCAGTAATACTACAGAAAAACCATAGTACAATACACCATGAAATATACCACAGTATTATTTGAGGATTATACCACAATTACCTTTTAAGGGTTTCAGCTTTTCAACATAAAAATGTATGTATAAATTCAGCTGCTTAAAATGATAAACAGCTGCTTTGCTACAGTAATTAGCAACAATTATTAACTATAGATGTCCTGCTAATAAAAGTGATACTTTGCAATGACTTATGCAAGGAGAAAAAGAAGTTTTAATTAACAAAGGAACAATGGCCATATGTGCTTATACAGCAGGTAGTGAATAAAACCATAAGAACCTAAAGAGTGCTGGTTCAAGTCCCAAGAGGTGGCGTCGTACAATTTAATCAGGTGCTTAGTGTGAATTACTCCATTACTCTGTGCAAATAGATCAAAATTATATGGTGTTGCGAAAAAAAAGGTTATACTGAGCTACTAAAAACAGAACATTGTGAGGCAAAATGCTTGAATTAACTTAAATAGAATACAAAGTTTTTTGGAAAAAAACTTGATTTTGAGTTTTGCTGTACTGAAGAATTGCGTTAATGTGAGAGTCAATGTGGAGTCCAACACAGTAATCATACATACATGTGTTTGCATGCTTTATATATACAGGTTCATTCTGTGTGATAGAAAGCACCCAAAAATGTAGGAGACTGGCAGCTAAAATTGATTGAAATATATGAATAGGGGATATCACCGTGTTCACGTCTAGGCAGGACAATGCCAAAATTACAGGGGAATATCGGAACCTGTGTAAGTGCCGACTCCATCGCAAATCACTTCCTCGCTCTAATAGCCGATGCTCTCATTGTTGTATGAAAAATGAAGGTTTTTTTTTTTTGGCTTGGAAAATCCTGGACGCTTCATTTGCATAATTAATCCTCATTAATCTCCCGCAAAATGGGGAAAGAAAAGGCCATGGAGGAGCTGGAGAAGCACGTCTCGATGGTGCAGGCTGATTGTACGCCATATAAATGAGTCTGTCAGTCTGACTATGCGTGCCTCTCTATCATGGCATCCATCTGCAGCTCTGTCTGCCTTGTCCTCCTCATCCCAGCCTATTTGCTTTCTGTCTGCTGCGTTTTCATCTCTCTGCTCCTGCTGTGTGTGGCGACACTGATGTTGCCAACAGCACGGCCATATCAGAACCCTGAAGTACTGCATGAGGACTCAGACGTAGATGGATCAGCAATGTTGGTCCCTCGGGGAGGCCCCAGACGTGTTTGATATGTGGCCCCTAATAGCGTTTCCGTTGAGCCATATCGGCACTTTTCTCTCGGCAGCCGGCTCTCCTGTGGCTCCCCGCGTCACCGTAAGACGCACGTAGATGAACGCCCTCGATTGGCTGCTAAATGTGCGCGTGAAACACAGAAAAAAACGGCTTTCGAATGTTGAGCGGTCAATGCACGGACAGTGTCCTCCAGAAGTGCCTTCAGCTTCTGCTTAACCTTACATTGCCTCGGCAACTGACGGCGTGCGTGAAATTCATAGGAGAGTATTATTGGATAGACGGGAGGATTCCTTCTGTGAAGAAGAACCCGGAAGCGTCACTCGCTGTTCTCCCGAGATACAAAGTGGATTTATGGGCTGGGCGCACAGGCAATGACAAGTAGAATCGCAGATTTGAAGGACCTTTAAAAGGTAACATCGCTTTCCACTCGCTGTCTCCACGATGTTTCCTCCACGTCTGCCAAGAGCGGCAGGAGCACTAGGACAGGAGGAAGGAGGAAGCCAAAAGAGAGACACCTAAGGTGTGACTTGTGTGGAAAAAAATGGCAACCGAAATCTCACAAAAATTCAATTAGCTATTATGCAACGAAAAGGATATATAATACCTCAGAACAACATTCTGTGACATGCAAGCCAGCAATAATTAGGATAACATTCGACACAAAGATGTAGCCTTTGACAATTAATATAAACTACATCGTCTTGAGATGATGAGTCACGTTTTTCACACATCAGGCATGACGGAACGCTAAAGATGGCTTGTTTTTCCACTAACACCCTGACAGGCGGATGCAGTCCGCACCGACAGGAGCCGGGGGGTTCCCAGTCCCCGAAATGGAATTATAGTCAGCCGGGTTACTGAGTCAGAAAATACCTTAACCCTCCTATCAATCATGGCCCAGGGAAATGGTGCGGGTTAATAGGAAGTAGTTTTGCGAAGAAGGAAATGACAGGGAACGCAGCCATCGAATATGTGTACTCAGCGGGTGATGTCTCACTGAGCAAGGCGGCCATTTTAATTTTTTTTTTTTCTTGGCATGTGATACATTAATGTTTAAGTTTCACTGTGTATATTAATGGTAGAGTTTAAAACGCAGTACCTCCTGGTGTGATCCCATTGGGGTTTTCTGTACCCGAATCTCCTCCTCAAAGATGTCTGGCTGCTGAAGCCAGCAGATATGCTGAGCACGAGAGGTGGGGGGGAGCGGGTGAGGTGGGGGGAGCGGGTGAGCTGTGTCGTGCCGAGGGCCTGTGGCGACCGGTGTTTCAAGTGACATATTGTACGAAGCAGCAGCATATTGAAGGTCACTCTTAATAAAACTCAAACCCTGGCCCTTCTGTTGAGCGGCCCAGTCACACAGAGCTGTTCAAGGATGTCTGAATTTAATGCAGAAGGGAGAATGGAGGTGTGGAGGAGGGGGTGTTGGGTGGAGATTATGACACTCAGATGCGTAAAGGATTTTCCAGAGAACTTAAAAGGGCAGAGTTTAGTCACTGGGGTCTAGTAGCCTTGCTTGTAGCAGGAATAATCCAGGGCTAGTAAAACAGGGAACTAAAGGTTATTTCCTTCTGTATGGTTTTGCATGGGGTGAAAGTCTTATATGTGTGAATACTGTTCTCAGTGTCTCCGAGTACCTCATTTCATGGCGGTGCAGCAAGCATTAGTCACCTTCTGAGTTCCCATAAATCTACCTGTTCTTTACTGTGTTACCCTGAACCTTATTTTATTTGACTTTTTTTGGTAATTTTTTGTTTTCTTGCATTCTTTTTTTCCACCTTGCTTCCAAACACTGGCTACACTTGCAAAACCGGCTGCAATAATTTTAAATATTTTAAAAGGTCATAATAAATTATTCATCCGGGGATGGCAAGTTTTGAAGCAGAATGTGCTAATTTTCCAGTTAGTGGAAATGATGGCTTTTTGGACAAAGCAGCCTCCTAATGTGCCGGCTTGTGAGATGCGAGGTATGACCTCACACGCAAAGTCAAGTCTAGCGTGGCTCGTTTTCAGTCTCGCTGACATTGCATGGCATGTAAACATTTTATACAAATGTTGCCAGTCACACATTTTAATATGAAAGTATAAATTTACTTATCAAAGTGACAGAAGGGCAGGGTCAGGCAGTCCTGGGGGTTACAGGCCTTGCTGAAGGACTAAGCGGTGAAATCCCTCTGCTGACCCTGGGATTTAAACCCATGACCTTCCATTCACAGGCAAAGCAGCCAAACCCACAGAGCCACAGACCACCCCCATAAAGTATATCTGAGCCACAGACCACCCCCATAAGGTATATCAGAGCCACAGACCACCCCCATAAAGTATATCAGAGCCACAGACCACCCCCATAAAGTATATCCTTTTCAGTTCTTCCCCTCCCTCCGTTTCATAGATACCCGCTATGTTTACTCAGACGAGATTCTAGAGACTCTGGAGGCCCTAGGCAAGAAACCCCCATGATATCAACACAGAAAATTTAATAAACATAGGTCCTTTATTTTTACTCGTGTGAAAAACAGAATACACAAATAAAGCAGATTAGTCATTGCAATGTACTATGTAATCACCCACCCCCAGCTCAGGGCCCCCGGCCATTGCCAGTCATACTTGTCCTGTAGCTATGTCTCTGAATGCAGTTATACTTACTTAGTAAGGATGCTTTTTTTTTTACCTTCTCAGTGGTTGCTTGCATTCTGGGATTGAATGGCATTGTATTCAGCAGGCAGCATATAGAAGAAAGGTAATCAACTGGGGGGATATTGTCCAGCTTAGTCGAGAGCATACTGTGATATGAACCTGGACTCATGCATGATGCAGATGCATGCAGAGACAGACAGCAGGGACACACAGGAGCACTTGGGGGCTGCAGATCTGCTCTGTTGCTTCATGGCCCTCCCCCCTCGCCTTCCGCTTCCCGTCAGCACTGGGATCCTCCTAGGCACTCTGAGGAAGAGGAAGACTGGAGCTGCCACTCCCCAAACGGCCAGGTTAGCTCCCAGCAGCACCCTCGCTTTTGAAGACATTCCATATCTAAAAAAGACACGCATTAACTTGACTACAGTGGATACCAGTGAAATATTTAAAACCACACCACTGGCACAGGTTAGAGAAGCAGACGGGAATCCTTTGGCCTTGAGTTCTCTCTGTGAAACATTTATAAAGAGTACAAGTTTTGTAGAAGTCTACTACTAGAAATTGTGTTTTGGACTGGTGTGTCGTTGGGGCTTAGTGGCTAGAGCCCTCACCTCAGAGCTGCAAGGATGTGGGTTTGAGTCTGGCCTTCTGTGTTTGGGATTCCTCTGGGTACTTTGCTTTACTTCGGTAGCCCAAAAACATGTGGTTAGACAGATTGGTGCCTGCCCATAATATGTCCTTTGCATGCGACTGGCATCCTGTCCAGAATGCCTCATGCCTCAGTTCCTCTACTTCCTAGGATAATCTCTGGGCTCACCTCACTGCAGGCCTGTACTGGAGAAGAGGTGATGGCCAATGTTTTGGATTGATTCATTTTTGAAAAATAGTAGTGTTTTCCTGCTCTGGTTAAAGTCATGACATCTTTAAACTTGAAAAACATGTGAATCTGTTTCATACCTATGAACTTTGCCATGGAAACATCGCTCTTGACATATTTGCTACTGACCACCCATAGTGCAAAAGGCACGTAGAGACATCGTGGCTGCCTCAGAAGGAATGTTAAGATCTTGCACGTGACTTTGTCCAAGCCAAAGGTGTTGGCCTTTGGCCTGAAATGCCTTTCATGCTTGGGGTCTTATCCTCTGAAACCATTTTCATCTTTGCGCCAATCATCTAAGTATGGATTCAAGGATTCATTATTGTCCCCATTAATTAGCCTAACATTCACATCTCCCTCATCTAGCTTATTTTGTTGATTTTTGCACACTTATCAATGTTGTTTTTCAGTCTCCTCTTGGAACTATAAAATTCAATATTCCAGCTTGCTTGACTGATGGCTAAATTCCACCTATACCTTTATGCTACAAAACATATGCAAAGTAGACAAATTTAAGTTTTGCTTAATTTATTTTGTTATTTAGTAGTAACCTGAATAAAGCATTTGTTTGAAAAACAGTTATTGCATATCAGAGATACTTTTAAGGGCAGATATACATTTAAATCTTTATTTTATATGTTATATATAATAAATGCCACAAAGAGATATAGTTCCCAAGCAGGACAAATAAGAAATGGTTGCTAGGTAACAGGAAAGAGCTGTCTATGATGCTATGGGCCAATGCCTTATTGGCTGGCTACCTACCGGAACCTTACCAGGTCACTATAAGCTACGCTACTGATTTACATTTATTCGGACATTTCAATTTATCGTGTATGAACTGAAGAACTTTCTCATTTTGCTCGCCTCTGAATCAGCGGCCATCCTTAGACGCTTGTCTTCTTGTTATCGTAGCCTTTGGAGCTGTTTTGTCTTGAGTATGTCACGCCATCGCCTCCCCTCCGTCGTGAACGGAGTTCGACCTCTAGGACACAACCAGTCCTGAGGGCCCGTTTTCCTTGCCTATCAACCTGTATCAGATCATTTTTTGTGCAGAGGCTGTTACGAAGGCTGGCGTGGAGGAACCCGCGACGAATACGCAGAAGCACAGCGGCTTTTAATCTATAGCTATGCGTGTAATAATGCCATTCGTGACTCAGGTAGTTCAGGTATATTGGTGTTATGCACACAGCAGGGACTTTAGATTATGCTTGCAAACTGAATCGATCAGTCACTACGGTTAAAACCGTTTGTTGTTTTCACAGCGATAAAGAGACTGCAGACCAAATAAGAGCCTCATGCACGCTCAAATCCTTGGGCCTTTGTGCTGGTCACTCCAAATCCCCCTAAATGCTTAACATGATGAGATGTTTTCCATGAACAGAGTGCTATTCAGTCTGGGTCTGAATTAACCAGCTGGCTGTTAAACAGCAATCCAGCGTAAGAATCCAAGTACCCCTCCCCAAACGGTGTTGATTATCTTGGGGGCGTGTCAGCGTTTACATCAACATTACATCAGTAAGAAGAATTGCCAGCTATTTGCAAAACAAAGATCTGAGTCTCAAGGACAAAATTCCTTTGCGTGAAGGTGACGGAACTTCGCAATGCAGCAATCAGTCTGCTGTATGTCTTTTCCTTTTCATAATGTGCATTGTAAACATTCCATTAAAAACATTTTCAAGTATAGACAGATATCCACTATTACATTCTTTCTTTCTCATCAAATGTAGAAAGTCATTTTCATCCAGATTGGACTAGAGCAGCTATTCAAATAACTTCATTTGTGGCTGCCTCATTCCTGAAAATCCTCATGTTTGGGGTACAAAAAGTAATTAATGGTTTTTGTTCTTTCTGTAGATGTCAGAAATCAGGCAGTATGAGACCTCACAGCTTCTAAAAACTGTACAGCTATGAAAATGACAGCGACAAATAATATTCTGTCTCACTTTTCTGCTTTCCATTATTGGGCCATTGGCTTCTGATTCCTTTTAATGATGGTAAACTTCTCGTTTCATTTACTTTTTGACCTCCTGGTTGAATTGCACCAAGTGACATGTCTTCAGTATAATAAATCTTTCATATGTAATATAAAATCTTTCATATAAAGCCCTTCCATTTGAGAATCCGAAAACGAAATGAAGCTAAGGTTTATGGAAATTTGTGGACAAGGCCGGGACCACCATCACCCCTGTCACTTCCTCCTCATAAATTATACAATCCCAAAAAGTCATCACTAATTACAGGTCTGGACTGGGAGCAGTTTCTGGCCGACAGGAGTTGTTACACAACACTATGTGTCTGTTCTAATGACTGCCAGAGTCATAATGATCACCAAGTTAAAAGATGCGAAAATAATTAACATAAAATGGTATTGTGGTATGATTGAATGCCTTCCTGAGGCAGTTAATTAAAATAAAAATAGTCATCATCATTATGATTATCATCAGTGCTATATTCGCAATAATCATATTTGAAAACCCAGCCTGGGGCCCGTTTAATATTTTTCCTGACATTTCTCTGTATGGCCTCCTTGACCTTTAGCATTGATCAAAAGGAAAAAACTCATGTGGTTCCACAAGTTTTCAACACTACAAAATTTCTACTTGTTATTCTCCCTCAAAAGAATAAATACCAAAAATACAAATTAAAACATTTTCATTTTACATTGTCCTTGATATTTTATAATGACAATATAAACATAGAGAAAAAAAAACATATCAGTGTAATTTTTTACAGCTTTATAAAAAAGCATAAAACAGAAAAAGGATTATTTAATTCTTCTTTGAACCAGCTTTCCACTGCATACTTAAAATGAATTCCGGAGTGTTACCAGCACATTTTAGTAGCAAACAATATCTTATCGAGCAGCTTAAATTTATAAATGTTAATAAGTGTGTATAAAGAGTTTGCTATAGAAGTAGAGGAACTGAGATTAGACAACGGCTGTTTACAGACATTTATTTAGTGACTTTTCCCAAAAGGAGCTCACAGCTGGAACTTTTACTGGAAAATGGACACATTTTTGTTCCTTCTTTGCAGGGTGGTTCAGTGCGGTTTCATGCTGGATTTGTGACCTTCAATACCCGCTGCTTCTTCTGCTGGTCAGCGAGAGCTGTCATACCGGCTGATGTCTTCGGCCGTGTTTTTCCTCGTCCCTATTGTTGTGTCATATAGGCACCCTGAGCTGTGGCAAATCAGCGGCCCATCGACCAGAGGCGCCCGGGGGAGCTGCTGTTTGCTGAGAGTCAGAACAAGAATTCCATTGTGCCCGGAAGGTTGGCGCGCCGCTGCAATCGCCGCCCGTCGCCGCCAGCCTTTTACGCCAGCAGAGGTCACCGCTGTGAGGTTCCACGGTTAAAACGAGACGGGTCTGGAGGCCTCACCTTTCCCGTCAGTAAATAATCGAAGCTGCGCTGCATCCGTCTGATTAACGGCTGCACTGAAACGATGCTAATGTAGCCCAGCTAGTGCTAAAAGCCGAAGGACACCTCTGTGTGCGGTTTTGTGTTTTGCTGTTTGCAGAATGGGCACCTTTGTCTTCATCTCCTTTAACCTTGAATGGTTTCCCACCAGGCTGGGGAGTGTTTACACTTGTGCGCTGCACAGAACAGCAGAGAAATCCCCCCCTCAGTATATGGCAGAACGCACAAGGACTGAAAAATGTCAAGCCATTGATTTACCCCATGTTTCGCTATGCATAACGCTTGCCGGCGGAAATTTATGGACAAAATGGTACTCTCTCTCTCTCCTTTCTCCCTCTGTCTCTCTCTCACTCTCTCTTGCCTTTATGGTCGATTCCTCCAGGTGTTGTTTCTGGTTATCACAGTGTTTTCTTGCTGATTCCTGCACTTCTTTTTGCTATGTTGGTTTATTCTGTTCAACGGACTAAAGAGCTTCTTGTAAGAATTTCTGGGTTTTCCTGGAAGACGCGCATGCCGTGGGTGCTTTAATTACCATGAAGAGTGAGGTTTATTGCAAGTTTATTTATTCATGATGTGGCTTAAGCAGAGTCGGGGAATAAACGAGAGCAGTAAATATACATTTAATTAAAAGTGGCCTCAATACTGACCCCTCCCAGAAACACACACACATTTTCATTCCCTTTCCGCATGTCACTCATTCATGCTGTTCACAGGATGCTGTTAGGCTGAAGGTCACTAACTGGTTGCAGCCTGGTCATGTGATAATAGCACTGTGAACTACACGACCTCATTAGTTTTTGGCCGCACATGCAGTGTGACAAGAGCTCATGTGGAATATCTACAATGTAACAACTGCTTATTATTCATTAGCTGTTAATTATTAAAATAATGATGTCTTATTTGATTATTTTGGGCAAATCAAACAGACATTTTACATATAAGGGTTCCTATTTGCAATAGATACAATCAAATCAAATGCAGAATCAAATTCAGTGATATTGATTGACATTTGACTAACAGCCAGGGATCTCTATGGCAAGTAGATCTTTGGAAAATTTCAACAGTTTTTATCTAGGAACTAATTCCACTGAGATGATTTGTTGTGTTACCAGATCAATTCAGATTAAGTGTTGTTGAGGGTATGACTGCCATTTACTCAAACCCTTTTGGCTGTCTAGCTAAGTCTTGCTGCTTAAATGATTAAAATAGACACTATCCGAATCTATAGAGGGAAGCAACAATAGATGTTGATGCAGGCTCTCGGTTGTTTGTCCGTGATATATCTGCCAAGAACCAGGCAGGGGCACTTTCTTCCCTTCCCGATCTCGGCAGATTTAGTGTTGTGTTTTTCGGAGAGCCGCGTCAAGAGGCAAGGGCTGTAGTAGGTACTGTAGATCCAACGGCAGCCCGATGCCAAGCCGAAGACGTCAAAGAGTAGCCATTATGAGATTTTCCATCTGTAACGGCTTAGGGCGCATACATCACATCCTTGTGAGGAATGCCAGTGTTTCACCCGCTCCACATGTGTGAGAAAGTCCCTCACTACCGTAGCTCTTGATGGCGTCAGAAAGTTTGGTTTCTATGGTAGCAGGACAGGGGGTGGGAAATGGGAGGTGAATAAGTACGCCGACCAACCACTGAGTGTCTGCCAGTACTGGGACATGCTAGAAGAGGGAGGACTAGTTGTCATGGATACCGTAAGTGGTACGTGGAGCCATTCTGACGGAAAGTTTGGCAGAAGTTCTCCACAGCAACGGGCCACACAGCCCCAAAGTTGTCCTGACTCATTGAGCAGCTTTCTTTGATATAGACATACAGGGCAAGCTTCAGCTCCTTATTCTTTGTAATTTCAGCAATGGGGTTCTGGGAGCACAGCACATTTTAAAGGGAAATAAATTAAGGCTTCATATTACATTTGAAGCCAGCTGCGCTAATGAATCACTTCCAAGACATTAACAAAAATGGAAAAAAAAATGACTGACAATTCTGTTGCTTGGACTCCTATAATATATTAAATGGCACTTTTACTCCTTAGCATGCAGCTGTCTGACATCTTTTCTGCCTGGAATTAGAAGTCTTTATCAACTCTTTTTTTTTACCCTTTTATTTAAAGCCATTATTTGGGGGGAAATATATGTGAAGTTACTCTTTGAAATTCGTATCGCTCTTTATTTTTTCTGTTTGACAGGTATTTTTAAACCTGTTTGTGTAAGATGACTGAAATCCTTGAAGTAGTTTTACTTCTAAGCTCATTAATGTTAATAGTGGAGACGTGTGAGGAGACGAGCCAGTTAAAGGGAGAAATGAGATATGGGACCATTATAAACTTTGTTATTTATATTGTTTTTTGCACTTTTTCATTCTTTTTGAATATATTTCCTTTCTATTTAATGCCACAGACAAAATCTTTTAATGATTTTTTTTTTTCTTTGATGATTATGATGACGATTTGATGAATGTTTATGATATATCCATAATCTCACCACACGGGACCCCTCTTTCACATCAAGGACTAAGAAATCAGTCTCAGGAAAATCAGTCTCAGGAAATCGACTGTGCGATTTTACAGTGTGATTTACTGAGGGACAACATATAGCAAGACTGTATGTAACATAAATAGCCCCTGCAGTTCTTGTTCTGGGCGGGATTGCAGGCAGAGCCATGTGACAGAGGGAAGAGAGGAAGGAGCAGGTATTTTGGGACAGGAGTAACAGAAGCAGCAGGGAGGAGGTGGAGAGGCAAAACTGATACACAAAATCAACACTGGAGCTACGAATGCGGGCTGGATTGAACATCTGGGTGTAGCCATGTTTACTGGGGGCAAGAGAAAACAAACCCTGTTACATTTAATGTATATTTGGGACTGAGGAGCGATTAAATAAATGATTTGACTTGTAACTGGACTGTGACTCACCTCAGGATATGCAGCCTTTCTCAGACTTTCTCAGCAAGTCGCTTAATGTTTATGACAAGGTGAGGCAGTCATGGCCACCTCTTATAAGATACTAGCATGTGATCATGTGACTCTCTTTTAGAGTTGCAGATGTCACATGACCATTCTTTGTTATTGTTCATTTTCGAACCAGTAAACCAATGATGCACCATTTCCAGCGAGGGAAAGTCGCAGAGATGGCCACAACCTCTCCTACTCCACAGAACCCTATGCTAATGGCGGATGTGTCACCTGTTTCGTTTCATTGCAGATGTAATTGAACCGAAGCAGCAGCGTGGTTCTGTGGGAGTCGCTGGCAGAGTGGGGAACACCAGCCCTCAGCTTCCGCATTCACTGGGACACACTGGTTGAAAGATGTAGCTGTTTATCAGAGCTGACAGAATTTATTGCCAAGCCCTGGAACCAGTGTATTAACAGCACGGAGAAAGAAAACTGACAACACAGCTGGAATTTCATTGGTCGAGCTGTGTGGGTAAGACCACCAGAATAAGCAGTTAAAAAAGGGAACAGTTATTTTATTTAAAAAAAAAAAAAACAACAACATTTATTTGAGGAAGTTCTCTATATGACTCCTGAGTTTATGTGTTTCCTTTTAATATTACTGACCACCCCCCCCCCTACCCATCACAGGACACAGAGAGAGGTCGACTGCGACTTCTCCCAGCAGCATAGACCGCACACCTGCCACTGGATCCAGGGCGTGGGTGGGGGGGGAGGGGGGCAGTGGACTCAAGAATTCTGGAGGAGGATGCCAGTCGCTTTGGTTCTGGTGTAGGTTTTGCTGATGCGTGCGTGTGCAAATTTATATACGCAGAAAGCACTGCCAGTCAGTCTCCTGAGGACCAACTAAAGACAGTTTTCTGATGCAGCTTGGTCTAGGTCATGCCGTACACCTTTGTCGTTGGTACTATGGTACTACAGAAAGAGACAAAGCGAAAAAGATAAAGTAATGAAGAAGTGTGTGTATTTATATATATATAAATATCAACCATAGAGCTGCCCAATAAAAATATTTGTATATTTCTTTAAGGTCTTATATGACAAGTCACACGAACCAAAAATCATTTAAATGCAAGCGAGCTTTTCATAGTACAGCAACAGAAACTGTCTATCTTACCAACAGGTATTGAGACACATGGGTATGGGGACAAAAGGAAATGTATACCTTCAAAGATAATAACTGCAGGGTACAGTGTTGACGGTCCTTCCAGGTAATCTTTCAGAGCGTGCTTATTACTCTGTAACAAGGGAGGTGCTCCTTAATCAAACTGGCCGATATTCTTATTGGGAGCAGACCTCCGTATTTGGCTCTGGGATCTGCTGAGGTTGTGTCTGTGTATAAACTCTGTCACCCGAGAGGTCCGGGCTGAAGGTCTGAAGGCTGCGACAGACCTACATGCAAAGCACAATAGACGAAACCTGAAGCCGTCCTCAAAGAGAACAGAAGGTTCATGATGCTCCTCAGTCTCTTTCTCAGGCTGATTAATGCCTATAAACGAGAAGAGGAGCGACATGAATCCGAGGGCGACGGCGGCTTTTTCTAACAGTAATGACAGATCTCTCACAATTTAATTTCCTTTAGTGAAGCTCTATAACTTATTTTCTTGAATGCATAATAAAGTAATAAGAAAGTCTGTGAACTGAGAGACCAGTAGGATTTTGGATTTTGTTTCAAATTTGTAACTTTCCTTGGTGTTTTTTGAGCTTCATAAAAATATCAAGTAACGTTATTTGATATGCAACAATTAAATAGATATTAATATTAGGAGATATTTTTAATCATTTTTATTCATTTGGCTGTTAATTTATGTATGACTTATTATGGGATTCCACTTCACAACCAGCTTCATGAAGGCGTATAAGTAGACAAACTGATTCTTCCAATTTTTCTCTGCAAAAGTATCTTCTGTAAAAAAAGTAAAAGTATCTTGCCATCGCTCCGATTTGACTCTCCCTGCCGGCCCCTGGAGGATGGGCTCCCCCTTTGAGTCTGGTCCCTCCCAAGGTTTCTTCCTTCTAGGGAGTTTTTCCTTGCCACTGTCGCCTATGGCTTACTCACTGGGGGCTTTGGGTGGGGATGCTGTAAAGCACTTTGAGACGATGTAATGTTGTGATAACGCGCTATACAAAAATAAATTTGTTGTTGTTGTTGTTGTATGTTTCGCATATGAACATGTTTGTTTTGTGTTGCTCCAAACGAGCTGCTGGTAAACGCCTAGCTAAAGAAGCGGACACCGTCTTGGATAGCTTTTTGAGAAGAATGCTACACAAACCCTTGTTTTTCTCGTGGTTGCCATGGAAACCCCATTCCGACTGAAAGAGATGAAAGTTTAATGCAAATACATCAGTAATTTAACAGCACTTGTGGGCCACGGATGTGTAATTAAGTGTGCATTTGGACACCATTGTTTTGCCAAGCTTCCGTTTTACACTTAAGGACCTTTTAGTGTGTTTATTTAGTAATGCCTTATTACTTATTTATATTATCTCCTACTCGTGACACAGTGCGTGTCAGGAAAATACATTTTAATGACTGAGGGTGGAGGGTTATTTTGCATAGAGAGAGCTTTTATTGTGCTTGGCAAGCGGAAGTAGTGAGGGCAGCTGAACTCAAATGTCCAGACAGAAAGAAAAAATGTTTGAACAAGTTAAAGGGTGAGGTTGGGGGCCATGTATGTCACATTGGAACAAGCACCTGCCAAGCAAGAAATAAATAATGTAATAATGCAATCTACCGCTTGTCGGGGGAAGGCGGCGAGACTCGTAATGGAGAATGCTAAGTGGAATTAAGTGTATTCCTATCGGAAATGGGTTGGTGAGGAAAATCCACCAGCTCTGCAAGAACATGTCAGAACTCTGGGATGTGCAACGGGGGAGATACTCTGACAGGACACAATGTCGGAGTCTGTCATGTGACGCAGAAGGGCCAGCAGAGGAAGCCATAATAGACTAATTTGCATCCTGGATTTTGAAGCTCTGGGTGAAATTCTGGATGATGGAATAGTTTACGAGTTGACAGGTGGTGACAACGGCTTTTTCTGTATGTCACTGATCACAATTTTGCCACAGTGCCTGCTAGCTGTACATTACATAAATGATTCATGCTCACATTAAACATTCAGCTTTTATGTCTTTCCTCCCTCGTCCTGCTCTTTCTTGAAAGTTACACAGTTTCACAAATACTAAGCTGAAACGGTTTCCTTTACCCCCCCCCCCCCCCCCTTGCCCTGCAAGGTAAATTTGCATTTAGGTTGTGTTTGTTAATTAGGTTTTTCATCTCTCCTTTATGAAAATTTTTCCTTTGAATAAACCTAATTTGAAGTAGGTTAGCGGCAGTACCAAAGTGAATGACGAAACTGGGTATAAAAGACCAAGATACCCAGCTTCGTTGGAAATGGGTGACAATAGTCTTGCAAGTCTGAACACAGAGGAAGCTTCTGAGGAATGCAGACGTGGGCCAGCCGTGGCTTTGTTCTAACAAGCGCCTGTGAGCCTCTGGGGGCTCCTTTTCATCAACTTCAGGTCATCACCTGCTTTGTGGCGTCGTCTGCGTGTTTGGGTGGGTGGGGGGTACCTAAAAGGTTATCTGTTATTTCAGCCACATGACAGTGGTGTATAAAAGAGGCCGTAATGTTTGCCCCCAGCACCCCGGGTCACTTAAAATTGTTTTCAGGAGCCACAAGGACTCCCCAGTTCCATTTTAGGTGGACTGAATTCCATTGAGAAGATCTGTGCAAAGACCTGTGCATTGTGCGTTCAGCCTCAACATCATGATTAAAATATAGACGGTTTATCATTTTCCAGTTTGTGCTTCAAAAGATATTTCACATACTGAAGCTTTTGAGTCAAATGTTTAGATAAATGTGTAAACAACTTAAAATTATAATGGCTTGTCACCAATAAAAACAAGAAAATGCTGTGAGCTTTCAGTCGTGTTTATCCTGCTATTTCATCATGAAATCTGGTTGGGATGTTTTTGGAACATCTCAAAGCCCTGCTTCACCAATGCATGCACTCCCACAAATGCATGTACCACCACAAATGCATATACCATCACAAACAAGTATGCCATCACCAATGTGTGCACTCCCACAAATGCATGTACCACAATAAATGCATGTACCACCACAAATCCATATACCATCACAAACAAGCATGCCATCACAAATGGGCACACCACCACAAACGCATATACCAGCACAAATGTGTGCATCACCACAAATGCATGTACCCCACCAAAAATGCATGTAACACCACAACACAAACACATACACCACCACAGATGAGTGTTACAGTTGCACCAGGTACAGACTGACTCTTCTCCTTCCACACCCCCTCATTCAGCACAACACCCTTCATTCCCTCAATCCTGTGGCAAGTGGTGTCTTTCCATCTGCTTAGCTTCCTTCAAAAGATCAGGACACGTTGTGCACGATTCCAGTATGCTTCGAATAAGGGACTGTTTTGCAGCAGCTACAAGAAAGGAGTAAATGTGAGTCGCTTTAATGTACCAACCCCCTTTACATTTTCATCTTAGTTCCCAGATTTTATTTTCCCACATGGATAATACCTTACTGGCTCGATTGTAATTTCACGTCTGCCCTTTAAATCCACAGTCTGCAATTATAATTTTACGAGTTCTGTTCCAAGGTGATCCGCCTGTCTACTTGGACATGCGCGGTGGAACGAGAACTGACAGAATGACTTCTTGTATTCTCCATGGATAAGAAAGCCCCACAACGAGAACAGTTTAACGTTAATGCCAGAGCCCTGCTAGTTTTTCATCTTCATCATGCTGGTTGGAGGAATTCTGTCCATCAATGGAAATGTTCTTCGTTCTTCAAGGTGCTGCAGTGAACAGTTGGAAGCACCATCAAACCAGGCAGCTACTCTTTCTTGAACCTCATCGTGGTCTCTTGCCTAATTTGAATTCTGTAGAAAAACATATTTTGTAGTTTTCTTTTTTTTTGCAGTAGTTGCTAGTCACACCTGGCCTCCTACAATCGTTCTCGGTAGTTAATTGTCCCTCACAAATTGATACAGCGTGATATATGCGAAATATCTCAGTGAAGTGTACCCAGGACATTCTTTCAAGAGCGTAACAAACCAAATTATGTTCTCCCATGACACAACTTCAAGTCAAAGTGTTCACACGGCATGGTTGTGCTGTTTGTGGTATGTGTTTGGTAATACAGGCCTCACTGCCGCATACAGCCTGTAACTTACTAACTTTTCTATTTTATAATGCTAACATATTATACTTGTTAAATCCATTATCATGTGAAGAATTGCTTGAGGTTTAACCTGCTGCATCTAACAGGAACATAGCAATCAGGTCATGCATTCATAACCAGGTTGCCAGATCATTACTAAAGAGGGTTACTGCTGCAGGAACCTTGAACAAAGTACTAAAGCTAAATAGAAACAATGAATTAAAAACCTCCAGCCATTACGAATGAGTAAATTTGAACTTTTTTTGGGCAAAAGTGTCAACCGAGTGATTGAAAGTAAGCCCATGACCTAGCAGAATCACTTGATTGCCTGAGCCAATCAACAGTCTTCTATGCAAACATTATAAAACATATGTGTAATGTGAAACAATAATGGTATAATAAAATTTGAGGTCAGTATTTTTGGGAATTGGGTGCATGATTTTTCCTTAGTTTCTGGAGCATGGTGGTACCAGAGAATTGAAACTCCTGGTTATTATGCATATGGGATGGGGGGGGGGGGTTCTGTAACAGCCCTTTGCAATATGTTCATTAAGTGACGTTTCGGTTTACATCCATCAGGGGAAACTTTAAAGGTGTTCAGGAGGCCATTCTTGTCATTAAAGTGGTTTATGCTGAGTGCTCAGGTATTACTGACTGCTGCTCCTGGCATCCTGGGAAATCCCTGAGGTCTTTACTGTACCGCATATAAGTACTACCACAACTAAACGTTGCTGTCAGGCATCCAAGGAATGGAAGGAAGGTTTGGCAAAATGTTAGCAAACAGACTATCCCTCTCCAGAAGTGCCTTAGTTCAGCACTTCAAACAATCAATTACAGGCAGAGATATAATGTTATCTATGATCTCTCCAGCATGACACCTTTGCAATCACTAAAAATATTCTTGACTCATATTAAAAAGTCATCGAAGAACTTGACTTGGAAAATCTCAAACTTGAGAAAAAGACAAGATGGCCTGGACTCACTGGATTCTAGAACTTAAAGATTCGATAGGGCATGGCGCGCTAACTTTAGTGTAAGATCAGTGATTAGCTACCGTATGCTTCAAAACGAGTCATAGTGACTTAAGGAGATCTCTTTACCGAGACATAACACTGTACTCTTTTATTGTAAGGTCTTGTCTAGTTATGGGAAGAGATAACACACAGTTTTTAGTCTACAAAGACATTGTTATTATAATCCATCATGCCAAGTGAGAGTATGAGGAAAAATCCCTCGTATAAGCAGTACAACTTTGAGAGGACGTGACGCTACAGGCTGCCGCATAGCTTCTGTGGAATCAGTGCAGTTTTCTAACACACTGGCTATTAAAATTCACAGTGTATTGAAACTGATGCTAGTCCCCATCTTTAACAAGGCCAGATAAATGGAGAGGGCAGCATAGGCCAATGTGAACACCGCTCTGGTTATGCTCTTCTCTGCTGTATGTTGATAATACTGTACAAGCACTTGCAGGAAAAAAATAAAAAATAAACAAGCTTCAGCGTGTTCATGAGGCTTGAAATGAGACCATAAAGCCTTCGAACATTGGGGGAACATCTTCTATCATCAAGTGTTTTGATATATATCATGATAATCTTTTATTTATTTTTTCCTCTATTGTTTTTTTTTTTTAGATCAGTTTAAGATCAGTTATGGACTTCCATGGAAGTGACTTCTTAATTATGATGGACTTGCCTGTCCTCTCCATACCACACATTTTTGGATGACCTCAGTCCATCACAAAACACAAGTCTTTGCATTGAGACATGGTCAAAAAATGTGTTGATTTAGTTTAGATTATATAAAGCAGCATTTCAGGG